AAATATAAGCATGCTCTTTACCTTAGTAGCAGGTCCAGTAATAACCCACTATTGAAGCAACACTATAGAATGGATGGATGCATTATGGTTCAAAGTAACAATTCCATACGGAGGCAAATACAGCAAAGACTACATCCTGAATACATTAATGGCCAAGATTGCACCAACAGTATTCATTCCATTAAGTTACAAAGTTCGAGGAACAGATTCTTCATTTTTTGTTGACGATTTCAAAGTTGCAGAAACGTTGGCCAGTTTTAACAAGAAAATTACAACTATGACTGGATATATGCTGTTGGTATTAGTGAGGCCTGGATTACCATATGTGGTGATTGATTCTACTGCAAACGACAAAATAAAGACATTGGTGGCTAAGCGTTACGATGTTAACCTAAAAGCCCTAGACCTGACGCACTTCCACACAGATCCAGATCTAATTGACAATTACGCTTTACCATTGTTCATACCCGCAGTGATGTTGGTAGTACTGGATATCATTGTGGATTGTGTTCATGACCTGGCAGCACTTTATTTGTCAGACAACAAACTGCACTCGCTTCATGACCTCAGTGTTCTTTCTATCAAATTACCTAAGCTCAAAGTCCTTCGCATTGGAAGAAACAGGATACAGGATTTGCAACAACTGGACTGTTTAGAGAGCCTGCCCCTAGAAGACCTAATGCTGAATGGAAATCCTCTCCGAGACAAATATCAAGACCACAACGCATATATACGTGACGTGAAGAAGAGGTTTCCAAAACTGTTGAAGCTTGACGGAGTTGAACTGTCACCACCGATCAAGCCTGATGTTAGTGAACCCCTACAGATGCCAACAATTAATGAGAACTACTCGTGTCCAGAAGAAGGCAGAAGCTTCGTCCATCAGTTCCTGGCAGCGTACTACCAACTTTATGATAATAATAACAGGGAACAACTGGCCCGTGCTTATCTTGACAATTCCATGTTGTCACTGACATCAACTTATGTGCAGGATCAGAGTTCTGAAAACACTTCTGAGTTTGTAAAACATGTCACAGAGAGCCTGAATTTTCTTAGTGTGAAAGATGACAGTAGAGGACAGAAGTCATCGTATCATGGGAAAAGGGATATTATCGCCTGTCTTTCCAAGCTGCCAAAGACGCAGCATGTTCCAAATTCATTTGTCACGAACCTCAAAGTTTTCACACCACAGGTGATTCTGATGTCACTGACTGGCTTATTTTGGGAACTAGGACCCACAGGAAAACAACTTCTTAGGTCATTCAGCAGGGACCTGGTCATTGTGCCTCATGGCCAAGGTCACTGCATAATGAACGAGGAGCTCTCTGTGACATGCGCAACGGACAACCAAACTGAGGTGGGACTGAGAACTTCAGGGCCAGCTGAAATGTTACCATCAACCACACGGGTTACAGTTGCAGCATCTCGTCAGGTTGAACTTATAGATGATGGAATGAAGCAGCGGATGGTAGATGGTCTTGCCGCTCAGACTGGAATGAATATGCAGTGGGCACAAAAGTTCTTCATGAAGGCAACTGGGATATTCAGCAAACGATATATATGTTAATTGTAATGAGTAAGCAAGGGACAATACCAGCAGAAGCTTTTGTTAAGTGAATCTTTCATCAGAAAATTATTTGTTAACTTATGAAAGGGCATTTTTCAGCCTCCTGTATGTCTCAATATACATGTGAAAAATTGTGAATTGATACATTAAATGTTATG